GCATACTTCGACTGCAAAAGAATGGCGTCTGCAGTCGAGAAGGCTCTTTTGGAGTGCCAACTTCAGTGGACGCCCTCTGAGATGAACATTGGTTGATAGTACCAAAAGAGATCGACATGGAAGTTGCGGATAATGGTAACTCCAGTACAGTGAGATCATATGACCTCTGATCTGACTAAGTTGAGACGAGTATAGCCGCAGTAGATGTACTTTTTCGCCATAGGTCTTGGTATGTGGACTTTAACCATCTTGGTAGCCAGTCTCTGCGGATGTTCGATTGCCTTCCGATCTCGCTGCAGCCATGGCTTTCATGCCTGAGTTGAGTACTCGGTGTATGGACAGATATATGTGGCTAAAAGACGTGGAAACAAAGCCGGCTCAATTGATCCAAAAACACGTTTGAGCAATCCAACCCGTTTTACCGCCATGGATGATGTCATGGAATAGTTTGTGGAGCAACTCAAATCTGTGCGAATGACTACTCCAGTGTCCTTCTCGGATGGAGTATGAGGCAGAGTTGCTTGTCCGAGAATGGAGGAAAAACGACCATTGTCAAGTAATCATAATAATATTACAATTTTGCCACTTCGAAGGAAAGTGAGCTACTTTGTACTCATGAGTATTTGCAAAATGTTTGTTACAAATCATTGAAAAGCATGTTGTATGGCACGGTTTATATCCGAGAGAGATATCGCAAAATGGATCTTACAGAACTGAGCCGAACGAGTGTGAACTCGTTGATGTGTGTCGAGGTATGGCGGATTAAATGGAATTAACCCGGGAGCGCACAAATTATGCGACCGATCAGCAACAATCCGAATTACGTCCTCTATCAGTTAACGTCAAACATCAAGCCATTCATTAAACTACTCAGATGGACGCTCAACAGCATGCTAGCACAACATTTGTCATTTTTCTCCCGAAAGCCGCTAGATCTACCTGGGGGGCTGGTAACGGTGTAATTTTCCGCTATGGAATCTCAGCACTGTTCTTCAAAGGTAATATGAGATTTATGCGTCTCAACTGAATATTCGTTATCTCACAAAATTTCTGTTTGACTAGGGACTCTTTGTGATCCCGGATGATGGATGCACTTTGGCTCGGTGCAGCAGCTAAGTTACGTAATAAAAACTCATCTCAGTTGGCTATAAAATGAATGATCTAAGGATTTCAAACAACAGGATATTACACTCAGCCAGGCTCTCTATTTCAATTAAACGGTGTATTTGAGCTTTCAGGTCAAAAGAATCAAAATACTAACTCTCCCAGGGATTTAGAAAAGCAATATAGATTGAAAGCGTCATGGAAATATCCCGTTAGTTACATTCATGAAAATGCTTGAGGTACCTGGAGTGCGAACCTTGTCCTTGTTAGTTTGTTTAAAAACGAAACGAACTGCACTCTCCATCTTCATTTATGCTGCAACATTCCTAACGCATATTGAGAGATCGTTAAGGCCTGGTGATAAAGTGGTGATCACGTAAAACATCGCAGTTGATTTTAAATATGGTGGAATATTCACGCGACGAAACAGCTCATAGAACAATAAAAATTCCTGGTTAAGTTTATGGTTTCAATAGTTCAGGGATCTCATAGTAGACTAGCTTTTCAGGAATCGCTTTCACAATCCCACTGCAGCTCTTTAAACTCAAGTGGTTATTCAACATGCAATACGTAACTGGTGCAGCAAGAATGGCAGAATCATAAACGCGTATTCAACGATGTGAAAAGAATTGCAACATCCCAGATTTGTAGCATTTTGGTTGATCGAATGTTGTATGATGACGATGTAGTACATTTACTGGTGGGAGAACCATGATACGCGTTCTAGTGGGTGCAAACTTTTATGGTAAGATTTTTCTATGTAGGAACAAGACAGCCAGACAGCTTACCCTTAGGTCCAGTGTTAAATGAGATTTGCTCCCCGCTGATAGAGGCAGTTGACCGGAAACCACAGTTTACCAGCTTGAGATCATTTCTATGTATACGATACACCACTTTTGAAGGATGTTGACATCGCAGGCCACCGCGATGATGGGCAGACTGGGTAGACCAAATATTCTGGAGTTTATTTATGAAGAATAGTTTTGCGTAAGCAAGATAGTCCTGAATGTGCACGAATCAGTGGTAGTTATTCTTTATGAGTAAAACAATTTTCAGGTTCAGACATTCCGAAATCTAAATGAATGTAAGCCTGGGTATTGTTGTTCAAACAAGATTATTGGAAGTTGATGCTTTTATCAACAACTTGTATTTTGCTTTTCCCCATCTGCCTGGGTGGTTTTGATCGCAAATAACATCCGCCTGGTCATACATTTTGAGCTAAATTATTTTAGAGCAGTGAGATTACCAATCATTTGGTTTTCTCAAAAGGTAAAATGAACCAATCACCTTTTCTCACGTGGAATGAAAAGCTTCCGAAATATTAACACATACGCTTTCATCCAGAACAAAATTCCGTGATTACCTATTGGACAATGTGAGATATAGCCAGCACGGGAAACGCTGAGTAACCGTCGGGACTCAGCCGACCGATTGATCAGACTGCAATCTCATTTGTTTTATTCATCTCTTCATCACCGATGCAAATATTTTAGTGCGAAAGGTCGGTGCTAGTTTCTTTCGTTTCTTAATAAACCTAACTGTATTGCCAATTATCCAGGCATATACTTCCATCCAGGTCTTCATATAGTGAATCAGGCACATTCATGTTTCACAATAGACAGTTGCAATACAAAGCGATCGCTTCGGACAAAACCAGGCATGCCTTCGAACTGTCGGAATTCATTAGATGTGATCTGATGTCCAAGTGTTGACACTATCAATTTCGGTTATCAAAACATTATTCTATTCAACTGTGTTTATCATCACCTCTCATTTTCCACGTCCGACTCGACGGGTTGTTCCAGATTGATTGGAAATGGCTTCTCAACGAACTGTTCAAACCGTTGAATTACCCGATCGCCGATGATCAATGGGTTGCGATAAATGATCGCGAATTTTTTCGTGCACGATGTAAACTATATGAGGAATATTTGAAAAACGACACTGGAATCCGGTAAGTTTCCCCATTTCATGTCAGCCCTTTTTAAACTAAATCACTAACATTGAGCATATTATAACTGACATCACCCAATTTATGTATTGATATGGTTATTTTGACCAAAAAAACTATAGAGAAACTTCAGTTATCCAATGGGGATAATGTCTTTTTCAACAATGACATTCTCATTTGTATCTGCACAAGTTCTGTAAACAAAAGCTAGGTAAATGTTGCAACACCGAAGTGAGTATCTGAGAATGCGGAACGTTCTCGTCCATTTAACAACTAGTCGACTCACTCTCTACTGCAGTACAGATTTGGTTGAATCCGGTTTGAATTACTAGATTTTCCACACCAGTCGCAAACGGTGTTTGACCTTGTTTCGTTTAAACAAACCATCTGTGTTGTTTTACAAATGATGTGTTGAACAAAAATGGTTTTTGTGTATGCCTGTGTATGCCCCTGAATGACCCCTTAGCATTCCTGTTCGAAACAGCAATTATGAACAGTTCGCTGCACTGGTTGCATTGATTGTGAAACAAAAGTTCACTAATAGAAAATGTAGATTTATATTCCCGTTTGATGAACGCAGTCAGCGCATTCCCTATTATCAAATCGCATAAAGCCCCACTGGGGAATGCTGGTAACAGCAGACCAGTGCTATTCGAGGTCAGCTTGACTTGATTGAACAGTACACGTTTCAAACGTACTAAGTTTATTATACAATTCCGATAAAATAGAGTAATTGGTGAATCACAGTAACCATTTTAATTTACGAACAATTCATCAATCAAAGAGCTTCAGTGTTCAACTGACCGCTTGATTGACGAATACTAATTTAGTTGGGAATTTAGTTGCCAATCAAGGACGAACATCAGTTGTTCAAATACTGATCAAATTGTTGAAACGAATAGGATCACTTTTATCAAAATTCGTACAAATGGAATTTAAATTCGATGAATCAAATAGAAGAACCATTTGTGACTGTATAAATGTTTGCTGGTGGTGAACCAGTTTATTTTGCTATCATTGGCATGCATTGGGTGCCCCCGAGTTCGACGATTGACCCCCTCCTTCAACATACCCCGCCAACAAACTTTGGTCTTCGACATTTTTTCTGTTGTACGGTTAGTACCAAACCGAGCTTAGTGGGCCCTTATGTGGTTCGCAACTCTGTATCTCAGGCCTTAGTTTTTCGGTGACCACCAGTGAATAGAAACTTTGTGTGACTATGAAGTTTACCCCGTCTGCTGTTCATCACAAATGGGTGTGGAATGGAAATTTTCACTTTGATTTACCGTTAGTAGGTATTTCGCCACAAAGTGATATTAGCTTAAAACGATTGGCTATCTTCCCACCATTAATGAATGAGAGATGTCTTTAATCGGTATTCCAAGCATAAACTGTTAGAAAACAAATAACCACTGCTTAGAAATTCCGTCAGTGTTTTATTATCCGGTTCGGTTTTTTTAATTACACACCTCAGTGTGATGAACAGCAGACGGGGCAAACCCCATAGTCACGGGGACGTGCTGTTCAGTGGTGGAAACCGAAAATCTAAGCCCCGGGACTTGGAGTGGCAAACCACATAAGGTCCCGATAGGTGAGGCGTGGTATTGATGATAAATGAATGAACGAAACGAGGAAAACATGCATTTTTGCCAAGGTATGTAGCTGCATTAAAATTTATGGAATGAAACAACTAGACTGAACCGAAATCCCAAAGAATATAGTACAGTGTAGATAAAAGGGTAGGTCTGAGTACACCGGTTAATTTTAAACCAAGTGTGTGCCGATAAAATCAACCGGCTTTGAAAACGGACCCTGATTTCAACACCTTGTTTGAGGGAATGCTTTATACGTTCCCCGCGAATGAAGCTCAAAGCGCTAAGCATTGGGATGGAGTAATCTAACGAAATTCCCGGTGTAAGGCGAGTTTGATCAATACACGTAGTTGTCAGAGCTTTTAAACCGAACACAAAAAGGGATATTCTGTGTTTTTATTGGTGAAACTGAAAACAAGAGAGTAAAAAAATAAAGGATTAGGTTGATTTGACTTCATTTATGGTTATCCAATGTTAGACAGCCGCAAGTATACCTTTGGTCACATTTTGATAAGTTCAACACCGACTGGAATACATTTCAGGAAAATCGCAAGTAAATGCGTGTGTTACCCGGTAATAGGGATAATCAACTCAATTATGTTTTGGAGGAAAAAGACACCTTGTTTCAAGTTGTGATGATGTAGACGTTAATCCATCACTTGAAAAACAGGACTGGAACAGTCACACCTGCGGACAGAATAAACCGACATATAAATCTTTGCTGTCTCGTTCGGTACCAGTACAACAGTAGGGCAGGATCGATGAAAAAAGGCCCAGATAAACAACACGCTGACGTGAACCCGGTAAGTGTGACTTAACCTCATAAACGGTTCGGTATTGTAATGTCATTCGTGTCTCCGCTTACTACTAGGAAATGTTTTCTTCGGAGACGGCTCCTTTGCGATGCATCCAATTTAGGCAATGTTTGTGACAGATGCGTGTATCGGTTCGTTTATTTACAGAACGCTGCATAACTCGGCCGTTTGGTACTTTTTGTGGCGTACCGTATTCCGAATGCCAGTGTCCGTCAACCGTGCACTAGAAGAATACAAAGAGGTCGAGTTGGGTGAGTGTGTCATTGACGAAGTAGCCAAAGCTTCGTAAAATATTCATGCTGTTGATCACTCAATTGCTCCTTGAAAAGCATCTTACTTTCGTGGTCAAGTTCAAAGAGCTGATTTTTCTTTTCAGAAAACTGTAACTTGACATTTACTTCAATTTAGTCACTGTGTTTGTCAAACTATTCTTATTCACCCTACAAAGAGGTCAAAATTTATTGTGAAAAACTTACAAAGAGTTCGCTTATCAAATCCC